GGATATTTTCGTCACCATTTTCAGGAACACCAGATATGCGAAGACAATTTCGTCGACTGTACTGTTCAGCCGTGTCAGCATCACGTTCAAGTTTAGTAACACGTGCACGCAATTCTTCATTCTCGTGTTCAAGATGGTGTATTTTTTTGTTAAGACCTGTAAGAACTCCATCAACAATAGCCTGAACTTGGACATCTACGCTTAACAGTTCTGGTCTAAATGTATCTTTCAGAACGTCAGCGATGGTAGCAATGTCCTCTTTTGACAGGACAATATGAGTTTCAGACGATTTAGGTTTTTTAATGTCGGTACAATCTATAGGTGAGGAAAGTTCCTTTTTTTTGCCTTCTGATATAGGTGTTGAGCATTTAGCCCCTTCAGATTTACTCATGATTAATACGGTATGATTACGGTAACAAACTTTTTCCGCTCAGTATAGATTTGAAATTGAGCGCGTGGGAGTTTCTATAAATAGTACAGTGCACGAAAATCACGGGTAATAAAGTGTCAAAATGTGTACATTTTCAGAAATCAGGAACAGAGTCATTTCAGTATAACAGATTACAGTTCATAACTTCATTACTTCATAACTACGTTTCTTTAGCCCATTTCAGTCTCCAAGCACTAGTTATACCATATTTCAACTTTTTGTTTACAAATTCATAAACACTGCCATAACCGGAAACGGAAACTCTTATTGCGTTAGTACCGCAGTAATCGGTATAGTGATCGGTACTGCAAAATCAGTCATTAATCGCATAAATTATGTAAAATATTAATTCAAAATTAAATCTTTCTACATTTCTTATTTCTATTTAGGCTCATCAGGGGGCCGTTTTATCAACGCTCTACGACACGTCGTAGGCTAGTTTTTTGTCGCAGACATGTCGCAGAACGTTAAGACCGTTTTATTAACGTTTGTCGTAGCCTACGACGTCGTAAAAAATGTCGCAGCTCTACGACAGGGTTAGGGCTGTCGTACGACGTAACTGTAACGTCAAGACTGGCGATCACTGTTTACATGCTCAGCACATTAATTTTTATGAAATAACATTTTCAGAATAAAAAACAAACAAACAACATATTTCAATTGTTTTTGTTTTCTTTTAATGTCAATTGCTTATAAAGGGACTTTATACATGCGCTCTAAGTATAAGAAAGAGACAGAATATACAAATCTTATACCCTATAAAAATGTCTAAAATATCGTTCGTTTGGAGCAAATATGCCTTTACGGTCATACTCTATTCTATTAATAATGAGTTCCAAAGATGTCTTCGGAAAATAGAATAAAAAATAAAAAAACTCACATCTTTTTTATTTCACATTAAAATTGGAAAATCCATAATATTTTAACTAGATTTTACATAAATTTAGATATTTCTTTGAAGAAACCCATATGGTATAAAATAAAGGACACAGGAAAGTTACCGTGGTCATGCCTCCGGAAAAACAATTTTAAAAAGAGAAAAAAATAGTCAATAGAATATAAAAAAGTTCAACAAGACAAGGCGACATTAACTAAAAGTTACCGCGGATGAAAAGCATTAATGTTTAAATTATCAAATTTTATGGTAAACTGCAATATACAGTGTACATATAATAATTCAGTCTGCGCAATTTGCATGGTGTATTAATTATGCATTTTAAATCTTTAAAAAAAAATCTAGAATCCGAACTGTAACTACGTAATTTGCAATTCCGGATGGGGAGTTATTTAGTATGCTACAACTACATGAGATATACGTATATATATGTATAAGTAGCCTGTGATTCATGCGTTGATATATTTTTTGCTTATTCATAACTTACGCGCTATTTAATACTCGATCGTCATAGGTAACACAACATCTTTGATTTTGATAGTATCAATATATGAGCCGCGTCATGACAAAACCAACATAATGGGTTTTGCGACCAGCATGGATCCAGACCAGCCTGTGCATCCGCACAGTCTGATCAGGATCCATGCTGTTCGCTCTCAGTTTCTCTACTTGTTATATGGTTTGTAAGCGAACAGCATGGATCCTGATCAGACTGCGCGGAGGTGCAGGCTGGTCAGGAGCCATGCTGGTCGCAAACCCACTATGTTGGTTTTGTCATGACGCGGCTCATATGTCAATTTGCCGACAAGAAGCACATAAAAATCGACAGATTGGAACCCAGGCTAGCTATGAGAAAAAGGGCTAGGTTCACGAAGTACTGAAAATTGCCCTATCATAGAAACTCTTCAAACTTTGTAATATGATTGTTCGGGGAAGGCTTAAAAGTAAAACATACAAATTTAGGTTTTCAAAACTATATTTTTGTTTCCATGGCAACGCAAAACAGAATACTTAAAATTATCTTTTTTCTCCATTTAGGTACATTTCTGATTGAAAGATTCACATTTGTTTCATTTATTTGTAAAACTTGCATTAAAGTTTGTAAAATCAAATATTTTGTTAGTTTCTTACAATGAAATTCAATTATAATCGCCATAGCAACCATTCTAAAAATAATTAGCTAAATGGTATCATATACTGAAAACTTCAGTATATTTAGCATTAAAATGTCAACATACAAAATCTATATCAATATAAATAGTCATGTACTGAAATTATAGAATGTTAAATGTAAATACATAAGTCCTGTTGCCATAGCAATGCTAAACAACATTCTTAAAATCGTTTTTTTCTATATTTAATTGCATGTATATTTCTCATTTAATGACTAACATTTGTTCCATATACTTGTCAATCTTGCCTTTACTTTTTAGATAAGAATATTTTGTTAGTGTCTCACATTGAAATTCAATTTTAATCTCCATAGCAACCATTCTTAACATGTTTAGGTAAATTGTATCAAATATTGAAAATGTCAGTTTTTGCAATGTACAAAAAAAACTACATGTGTATTACATTAATTATTATGTTTTGAACTGAAATTCAATTATAATCTCCATAGCAACCATTCTTAACATGCTTAAATAAAATGTATCAAAAACTGAAAATTTCTTTTTTTGCAGTGTACAAAAAAAGCTACATGTATATTAAAATAAATGATTATGTTTTGAATTGAAATTCAATCATAATCTCTGTAGCAACCACTATTATCAATCTTAGCTTAAGAACAGTTAAGATTGTGTACAGAAACAAACATAAATAATTATGTTTTCAATTGAAATTCGATTATAATATATAAAGCAACAATTATAAATATTCTTAGCTAAATGGTATCATATATTGAAAACTGTTACAACAGTTTATGTAGTGTACAGAAACTTCATGTATATTAACATAAATAATTATGTTTTGAATTGAAATTCAATCATATTCTCTAGCAACAACTATTAACAATCTTAGCTAAACAACAGTTTATGTATTGTACAGAAACACTACAAGTATATTAACATAAATAATTATGTTTTGAATTGAAATTCAATCATATTCTCTAGCAACCACTATTAACAATCTTAGCTAAACAACAGTTTATGTATTGTACAAAAACACTACATGTATATTAACATAAATAATTATGTTTTGAATTGAAATTCAATCATATTCTCTAGCAACCACTATTAACAATCTTAGCTAAACAACAGTTTATGTATTGTACAAAAACACTACATGTATATTAACATAAATAATTATGTTTTGAATTGAAATTCAATCATAATCTCTAGCAACCACTATTAACAATCTTAGCTAAACAACAGTTTATGTAGTGTACAAAAAAACTACATGTATATTAACATCAATAATTATGTTTTGAATTGAAATTCAATCATAATCTCCATAGCAACCATTCTAAAAGTTTTAGATAATAAGTTTCATATAGATAAATCTGCTTTGAATATACAAAATTTAAAAAAGGATAAATACATAATTCCCTTTATAGTTACTTGTACAATAAATATAATTGCATGTTATAAATGATCATCACATATTCTTTTTTATAGCTTTATTTGTTCATCATTCTTTTAATATGTTTAAAACTTACAGGAATTTCTGGGTACCATACAATTTACTATATGGGCATTATCACTTAAACTAGAACTCCGCGAGTCGGATGTGTCGCCTTGTGAACAATATAGTTTAGGAGAAATGGCCACGACAAAAATAAAGTATGAAAATTAACAAAGGGCAATAACTCAAAAAATAAGAAGTGCAGAGTACCGGTCCTTGTGCACTGCACTTCGAGTTATTATAAGAAGCATGCATACCAAGTTTGAAGTCAATCAAACTTATAATGACTGACTTATGCTCCGGACAAGCTTTAGGGGACGCCGACAACAACACCGACGACAACGACGCCGCCGACAAAAGTAACACAACAAGAGGAAGTCTGCACATCTATGATTACATGAATCAGTCTTTAAAATGAAAATATGCAGGTCACAAAAATGATTCATAAAGTGGCAACAAAAACATACATGTTCATTTATGAGTAATTAAGTAACAGTGCCTTTTATCTTTATTACCTTTCACTTGCAGACTTAATTAAATGAAACAATCATTGGATACATCACTTCTACAAATGTTATGTATATAAATAATAAGTCTGACAATATTACTGATATGATTCCCTTTACTTATTATTCCTCTATAATACTGTCTTCAGAGTCGGATGAATCTATTGGCTGCGGCATCTCGGCAGCATCATCAAGGTATTGAGTCCAGTCTTGGACTCCGTACCTGTCAGACTGCTGCCTAGATGTGCCTAGATACCAAATCACCGCAGCCACATGTGAACATGTTCCAACTGTCCGTGCACCAGCCTTGCACTGGCAGTACCAAGCCTTGACATGGTCTGAATCATACTGAATCCAAACAAAATAAGACTTGGAAGATACATGACGACTTTGAAGTCTTACTCTCAACAAGTCTTTTGATTCTTTATACACCAAAATATCACAATCTCCATCAAGGTACTCTTGTGCATATGATTGGCAAAGTTTCATTTGGTAGGTACCAAGAGTCAAAAGACTAAGAGTAAAATCATCTATAGAGGGGAAATTGTCAATTTCTTGCACTGCTTGCCATTTTGAAAATATTTCGCTTATATAGTTCATTTTCTTGAACATATGATTGTAAATGGTTAACATTCTGGATTTTATCTCTCATTCTCTCTGCTACAAGTGTGTCATCCATCAAATCTTTGGTTGCATTTAGAGGTGAAAGGTATTTGTTACATGTGGCACAAATTATGCGGACATAATCACCAATGAACGGAACTTGATTGGTAGGCAATACATGGTCAAGATACTTCCATCTCTTTATTCGAGCATTTGATGCTTCAACTACCCATCTGACCTGAAAAAACAAAATAAATATATCAATTATTAGAAACACATATGTGATAAAAAATTGAAAATCGATTAAATTGGTGTATTAATTTTAAAGAAAGTTGGATATCATAAAAAGAGCCACCGCAGAGTGGGGACAACGCTCGACTTTTTTACTTTTTCTAATGGCAAACAAACAGTTAAAACAAATCTAAAAAAAGAAAAAAAAAGGGTCTTCCATTTTTTTTTAAATGTCTGTCTAGTCACACTTGTTATTTTGTTCAAGTATAAATAGTTTCGATAAATAATCTAAGATAAAATAATTAAAGAAAATATAAGCAAAATTCAATGATCAGACTTTGACAGTTAAAGGGACTCCACTGAGGTTTAAAAGCCTTAAAACATAACATTAGAATTTCTTACATAAATAAACTGGGGCGCTTTAAACTGAAATATTTGCAAAGATAGTTAAGAAATATACTTTAAAATAAATCGAAAATCGTAGTTTTATCCTTTTCTTAGTCTAATTTGAGTGAAAAGCGTTTAAACGCTTTTCATTTTGGGTCATTTTTTTTTACAATTTGAATCATTATTATGGAAAAACTTAGTGTGCGAATCATCTGAAAGTTTGCATAAAGATTCGTGGTCTACACCTACATCAAATGGTACATTTATCTGGAAAAAAAATTTTCAGTCCCATCATGTCAAAAAACCTCAGTGGAGTCCCTTTAAGTTCATTTAAGAAAATAATGTGGTTAATGATAAATCATATATACCTTTGTTACGAACCGACTGTGGTTAGCGTCCATGGTTGTTAATTGTTTGGCACCCTTCGGCATGAACTTTGGCATTTGTGCTTTTATTCCCATCTCCTCAAGCACTTGCAGGGAGTCACGAAATCCACGGTCAACAACAAATATATCATTTGGCTGAGCCCAATTTTTGATTTCCTCTATGTTATTCCTTACTGCATGGTTTAAAATTCCTAAATCACTATTTTTAGAATCTGCAAGATATGGTCCTAATACAGAAATAAAGTATCCAGTAGTGCTGACTATTACCATAGGTTTAACAAGTGGCCGCCCTTTATGTACACTATAAGAACATCTTTGGAATTTGAAGTTTGTACTTTTTCTAATATATATGTATGTTCCGTCTAATACAATTATAGCTTGGCTGGCATTTTCTGCAAGTAGTGACTGTGATAGGGAACGAGTATGGCTTTTTATAATTTCTTCTCTTGATATGTGCTGGAAGCCAAGATATTTAGGAACAAGTTCAGAAACAAGCACTTTTCTGATTGTATGTACTGCTCTTCTTATGCTTGATTTAGATACATTAAAAAGTGTTGAAAGAATTTTGTTTGACAATACAGACTTAAGTTTAAACAGAAATATACCCAGTGTAGTAATGTTGCTTCTAACTGGCGTATTTCTAACATGTTCTTCAGTAATAGAGCATAAATCTAAGAACTGTTCTTTGTCAAACCTGTAAGATTGCACAAATCTTCATTTGAAAATGTATCAATATTGTCAAATGACATTCTATTAGACGATGAATTAAGTATACACTGTCTGACATTATTTATAACATTCACAATTGTAGTCCGGTTTAATAAAACAGACTCTAATGTTTTTACGTTATCTAAAACATTTGCTTGGAAACCATTACGATTATTATTCAGGTGAGCAGGGCAACACCTACTGTCAGCTGTTATAAGGATATTATGCTTCACAAGTGTTTCTGTTCTAAGTTTTGATGGAACCACAATTAATTTAGATCCTACTTTCTTACAAATAAAACAGTATGAATGACTTATTGAAATTGTTTTTAAGCTCAAAGAAACCGATGGTGGACTTGGCAATTGTTGAATATCATTCTTTTCTGCTGTGACAGGAACAGGACATGCAGATATTATGGGTCTTTGGTTATGTTGAGAAGGATATGCCGGTCGGCTACATTTTCCACATATGTAGTCAGATTTTGAAGTTTCAAGCATGAACGTTTTTCTGAGATACCGGATAAGATATGGATTCACAGGCCTCCTTTGATGTATCTTTAGTCTTTTCCCACACAAAACGCATGGAGTTGGAGCCATCCTAGAATAGAATATAAACATTATAGAATTAAATTAAATAAATTCAGATTCAATTGATACATCTAGTTTAATGAAAGAGATCTATGTTTAAAATTTCTCCATTATCAATTAAAAAGATAAGTTAAAAATAATTGATTGCAACTGTTACAAGTAGTATTTCTTTGGTTACCAGTTTATCAACACTATTTCTCTTGTAGAAATTATGAAAATATTATTTGCATAGGAGCTTTGAAATATTAAATCTAGTATGACAACAATTAAAAAAAAAAAAAAAAAAAAAAGGAAGAAAAAAAATTGTACCTCCATCTAGGTTTCGAACTCTGACCCTTTCACATGCTACGCCATCGTTACAAACACTGCGCCATGAAGACTTTCGATAACCTGAGGAAGATAATTATAACTATATAATTATTCTACCGTGTTTTGTTGAAATTAATTCACCCATAATTTATTTTACAGCCGATAATTTATTTCATAGATTGTTATTGATCACAAATATCTATTCCGACTGTATAACATTATTTCGTGGTTTTATCCCAAGTCATATTTAACGGACGAGAATTAGGCTTATCGTCTGCAAGTGCAAGCAGATCAACACTTTTAATGAAGAAAATCAAATTAAAATGGCACAGCGAACGAAAAAGAAACATGAATTTTATAAAGAATATGTTCAACATACCTTTACATGTCTACATATGTCAAGTAATTCAAGAAATTGCTGCGTAACAATGAAAATGTGCACGTTGTTTATAACGATGAACTGTCAGTAAGAGTGGCGCCCCTTGCGTCGTGTAGACTACACTTTTAACGCATAACAAGTTTACACGGAATTCAATTGTCAAACTTCAAGATTCATGCGAGTGAGTAATGAAAATATCATTAATGCCACTGTCATTTATTTTATTTTATTCAAATAAAATTTACAAATACAATAGCAATCAATTAATGAAAGGAAAGCCTGCAAACAAAAGCTTGTAATTCGACCCCGAGTCACTCGTAACTTTGACCATCTGCTAAGTATATTACATAAAAATTAAGAATGAAGGCACTATTTCGACACCTTGAAATTTTGTGTGCCAATTAGTTGATATTAAAGTAAAGTATGTTTGAAATATCTAAGTGTCGGGAAAATGCCTTCATATTTTTTTCCGTTGAAAGATATGGCGAAAATGACGAAAACACGTGAAATATTCGACATATGTGTTTTTATTTCGTATTTTACTCCTTCCAGAAATGAATTTAAATAAAATTTTAGACCATGTTTAGAATGAATAAGTATCATGCCTGCGAGAAATGTTATTTGTTTTGTTTTATTGCAATCTTTATATTTTACTAATTTGCTGGGCCAATTCACATGTTTCGTGAACCTAGCCCTTAATCCGCTTTCCGTAAAAAACGCAACAACAACTAAAACAACAACAAAAAAGCTACATTTTAAAGTGAATTATTACATATAAATTACAACAAAAACAGCGTGGGGCGTTTCAATTTAAAAGCAGTGCGCTTAATATAACTTTACGAAAATATGTCAAAACATCAATTCATTATTTCAATACTTTAGCAATAGTAAATCTATATAAGATTAATTATATATATTTATTTCAAACAACGAGAAGGAACAGAACTAGTTAGAAATGTGAACTGAATTCCTCGTAAAATGGGTAAAAATGTGCGCCACACGTTATACTAGAAACATTGGGTGTCATTTAAGTAATTTATATGTACAAATCATTGGTTTTTTCATGATAGCTAGTACTTTAAACACAATTTTGGCGTTTCTTAAAAAAGCAGCTACAATTGTTTCTAACGCGCAAAAATCCTTTCATAAAGCCCTAGAAATGCTTTAATTTTTTAAAGCTTTTTATTTATATTTTTTTTTGTTTTTATTATTTTTATTTCCATTATCATTAACCTGAACTAACGTTTCCTTCTGTTAATTTTTGCCAATCAAGAACGGTGTTAATGATTTAGTAATTTGTATGAAAGTCAAAATTTTGCTACAATAACAATTTTAATACTTTCACATTCACAACTACTTTCTTTAGAAATACAGGCAAAACAAAAATGTAAGTCTGCACAAACTGCATGATATATTAACAAGTTTGCTTCTTTAAAAAGAAGCATGCGAGAGGTCAATTTGCTGCTGTGAGAGATTTGTGTAATTCGAAAATATTTGGGGATATTTTTGCATAAAAGACACAATGAATGGTTATAAATTACAATTATTTAACAAAATAGAATTTATTATTATATAGTATCATAATGAAAGTTTGTTTTACACTTCATTTTTTAAAAATGTTTTGAAAGATTATATGCCGGAGATACTTAAAGCGATACTTTTTCTACAAAGGAAATAATTTGTGTTATGCCATCAAACTAAATTTAAAATAAATGATAAACACATGTATATATTTATATTAAAAGTAGTATCAAAAATAAAAGTTTCTTGTAAAATTCAATAAGCACATTTTCGGTTAATGTTTTGGTAAGTATACGGAAACATTTCCTCTACATTTTCCAAAACGGGCATAAAGTATGTTAATCAATTTTAAGTCCCATAATTTACATAAAAATGTTTATATCATTTGATTGGAATAAACAGTATATAAAGCTGCATGCCTCCAACCACAATTGATATTTGAGGAAAATCTTGAGTAAAATTTGTGCCATTTGAGCAAAAAAAATCTCCGTTGCGTTATTAAGTCGTACATGTTCAAAAGTTTAAGGAGCAGCAAAATTTCGGTACACGGTTCTCTCGGTCATATTGAATGGTGATATTGTACCTGTTATGTTCACTGTTACTATTTATCGGAATATGAAATAGTAAAACGCTATTCAGAAAACAATACGGTAATTGATTTATACAATTAAAAAGATTAAAACGGAATGACACATCCACGTAGCTTTAAGTGACGTAAATGAAATTTTCCGTTTTTTCTACGTACCGATTTGTTTACTTCGATGTTTATTTTTCGTTTAAGTTAAGTCGAATTTTGAAACGGAGCATGCGCAAAACCATTTTTGTAGACTGCTCCTAATGATTTTACGCTATAAATGAGATTCATTCACTACAATCAGATACGCAAAAATGGATGCTGCCAGCAATCGGTCTGAACACTGTGAAGAGGTCTGATAACCTCTCCAGTTATGTATTTCAATTCTTTTAAAGACTTGAAAAAATATAGTACCCGAACGTACCCGAACGTATTTACAAAGCCGGGAGTAGGGGATTATTTAGAATACTACATGAAATATATGTATAAATACCTTTAAACAATTAATATAATTCTGAAAAAAACACTAACAAATAAATATACATGACACTTAAAAAGAAATATTTCATTAAGATTACAAATTGGAACAGAATACAAAACAGCGTGTTCTGTTTCAATTAAAAAGCAAAATAAACAAAAAAATCAAAACAGCAATTTATTATTTCGATGCATTGGCAATGGTATATCTATACATGTATATTATATTTTTTTGTTTCAAACAACTAGAAAAACAAGGGACTAGTTATTCGCTTGTTCATATATTAGAGTCTGTACCGTATTTCTCCGAAAATACTATGAAAAATGGCTATACTCGAATGCTTTCAGGTTATTATTTGTTTAGTTTTTATATACTGTGGGTAGCTTATATAGTCACGGGTACTCTGCACCTTATCTCGTTAAAATCAGTTGAATAACAGCAAAGTTTAAAAAAAAAATGTGCGCTTATTCCTTACGTGGTGTAACTACTTTCAATCCGTATTAACTCCGATGTTATTATAGATAATAGCCGTGACATTCCGATTGATCGCCACACGATATACTTGAAAAGCCCGGTGCTATTTGAATTTTAATTTACTATTTAAGTCAAATACTACTTTGTTGACATTTTTGGTTTCACCGCTTCAAGTCATAAGCGGCTGCATGCTTTGAAATAGTTATTTAAAGGTTATAAAACCCGTGTTCAGAAACTTGCTTAGACTGAGACATAATGTGCCTTTAGCATTCAGTACAGACCCGGCATTAATGGTGGAACCGTAGCGTGATTTAGTATTTTAAGGGTTGAATCGAGTGCAGAAAATATATGCTGTATTTCTCACTAAATTTGTTCTTTTAATGACATTAAAAAATATTTATCCATTTTCTAATAATCATGTAAATTTATCCGTTTGATAATAGTCATGTAAATTCCATCAGTACTTTAAGTACTTTGATTTCATATGTGACGTCAAAACGCGCACTGGCTAGACTGTGTCTCGCAAGAATTATTGTCTACGACAAAGGCTGCGACGTCGCAGAAACACAACGTCTGCGACACGTTTCATAAAACGGTCGTACGACGTTGTCGCATACGTACGACACCGACAAAAAATTGTCGTAGACTACGACACGTTGATAAAACGGCCCCCTGGAGCTTTAATAACCAAAATGGCCAAAAAATAAAATTTGAACATAGTATTCATGTATATGGAGATAAAAAAAACATTGTCATTCCATTTTCGGAAAATCAAAATAAAAACAAAACAGGAAATTTTAAATTGGTGCTGCTGAAGAATGTGAATGTTTTATATAATTTTGGTTTCGTTGACGACTTGCAAAGTCAATCGTATCATTCCGCAGTAGGTCATGCGTCTTTTTAGACTAATAGACTAATAGACTCGGCTGCCTTGATGTCGAATAAACCATGAATGATACCTTCTCAGATCTTTGACCTTTTCATCAGACCTGTGACCTTATGACATCAAACATCAAAATAGGTCATCTACTTGCCATAGGCAATGTCTCTATCAAATAGAATAAGCCAGGGCTTATTCGTTCTCAAGTTATTGTATGGACAAGGTTAACAGGCCGTTAGAACTACATACAGGTCAATTCCTATCACAGGATTGTGCCCACACAAAGGGCCAATACTAATTCAAATTAATGTCTGATTTACGGGTTTT